GTTATGGTACGGCGCTGTGTAGCGGGAATGTCGATTCAATCTTGTGTCGCCATCAAATCGATTTTGTTACCTGCCACGCACCTGCCGGATCAGGTAACTGTTAACGTACTGGTGTAATTTCAAAGGGGATGTGTTTACATGCACTATAACGCTAATCGACAGCTCGTTTCTTTCGGGCAAAGGCATAATTATATTATACTGACTGACTAATACAATGCACAATACAGGAAGCAACTCATAGCGGTGTGTGTGTCTGCCTGCCAGGAGGGTCACAGTATAATTTGTTTCTTTAAAGTGTTTCTACCATGTATTTTTTTTCTTTCTAAGTTTTCGATATTTTACGAGTAATCATTATGATTAGGGAATGGTACATCGTGATTACTCATATGCCATATTAGGTCGAGGTGGTATGAATGATTATATATGAGTTTTGAATCTGAAATATCAACCATTATCAAATAATTGCCAAAAAGCATTTTCCAAGCATTTCTGGCTTTACTTTATTCCATTGGTTCACTGCATTAAATGCCGACTTTTTATGTGACTTATACGTACTTTTATCAAATAACTGCCATTAACTCAATTAAATTTGTAATGTGATTGAGTTTCAACATGCCTGGTAAAATCCTGGTTCATCGTGCAATGCCAGACGAAGTTGGAGAAGAGGTTGAGGAAGACGCAACACAAGTGTCCCAGAAACAACGCCTGAACGTTTATTTTATGTGTTCCGTTTTATAATACACATCGATATCATGTGCCTAATTCCATTCACCGCGTGTATGGTCGTGACGCTACATCATCAGTCAAGTGTACCGGTCAGTGGGTCAGTTTGCACACGATTCAGTTTCAGTCATCAGGCGACCATAAGGCTAACTTCACATTACCATCTTATCCTACCGGGTACCCATTCACTGCCGGATAAACATTATGGACAAAGCCATTTGCCTTTTCTGACAACACATGTGCTGCATGTGCTTGTCATGCTTGACATTTATGCCGTTTACTTTTTCAAGGGGTTATGAGTGGTCCTATTAGTAGTCTAAGGCGTCGCAGGTGACTGAGTTAAGTCCATTCCCCGACATATTCATATATCGTTTGTTTCAAATGAAGATTATATTTGTCAGAACTATTCCGACGCTCGTGGGTCTCACCTAAGGTATACATCCTTAGAAATGCATAGCCTCAGGCATTTCTGCCATATTAAACAATCAAGCTATGCAGTTCTGCACTTCAGCGTCATATTTTACTGTCAAGGTTTCACTTGATGAAAGATTTTATAAGACTCTAATTAACAAAAATAATTTATTGACATTCCAACATTTCATTACACACTATCAACCATTCGTTCTCAGGAATATACAGCATATGTACTGAGGCATTGGATGCTCGTTTAAGGAACAGTTTTAAAGGTTGTTTGTATAGAAGCTGCTCGATCAAGGTAACAATATTCAAGGCCTCAGTGAAGCTTTGAAAACGTTTTATGGTAGACTTGTGGAGGACATTTCAAAAACTGATGCACAAGTGACAAATATTATGTCCGATGCAATTCTTTATTTTGACTTGTGCCATGCGTTACCGAATCAATTCAGATAAACAGCTGACTTGCCTTATGTTAATGACGGGTGCTTGTTGTGGAGCCGGATACCCTCACCGTCTCGTGAACACCTGGTGTCATCACTATTTGATAGTGATTCATAAACTCCTGCTCTATCATGATGTATCATGATGTCAATCTCGGGATTCTGCAGTGTCGATTATTTACAGACGGCCGCCATACAGCTGGAATATTTCTGAGTGCGGAGTTCAACAAACAAACAAACAAACACATGTTCATGATACAGTCAGAATTGTACAATAGAATCTAGCGAGATGCCTTGTGGATGTGGAAAGGGTTTTGTATCGTTTATTTTTGAATTCATTGTTACGCTCATAACTTCTTACCACTTTGCTTTGTTGCCATGCTCCCCGTTTTCACGTCGACAAAGACTTTCATTTCCACTTTTAAAAGGTATTGTGTGTCCAATGACTTGTGAGACATAGGTTTCATAAGAATTGTTTGACATCATCGTATTTTAAATCAATTCAACTTTGAACACTGATTTTGCTGTTTTCACGGTGATGAAGATATATACAACAAAATTCAATCATATAAATCAACATCTCAGCTTACTCAAGTTTACACATTATCTGCCCCTCAATGAAAATTACGGACACATACAGCAAATAACCAACACATACAACAGTACAGTCAAGATTTTAAGCTTTTTAGTTCTATCACTTGTAGAATCGGTGATAGGATTCAGGCTACACTAAAGAGCTCCTAACACCATGGCAACTGAACTTTGCGGCCCTCTCCCGCACGCTGAATGTTAATCACGATCTTTAATCTGTTGATCATATTCCGTGTATGACATGTGGTTACAACTGTGACCTCACCAAAGGCTTCGATCACGTCCTCCATGAACAGAGCAACTGCAGCGACAACGGAGGTGACGATAATGAGAACAGACAGTACAATAGCAGTCAGACGCCATGAAAGGGGATCCATGACGGGCGACGGCGGTAAATCAACTTGTTAAGTCTCTGAAAGGAAACACGATTACTGTACCATGTTACCTCGCCCATTCCTTTGTTTGGAAATACACGCCCGCCGCAGCGTGTTAAATATTAAGTATGACTACATAACACGGTGTTTTCCATTCTGATCGACTTGATACTGTCTCATGATTTATGAGTCTAAACAGCGTTCAGTGCACGAAGATTATTTTACTATCACATCAATTAATTGTTCTTTCTTTAACAAGAGTGCAATTGTGCAAATATATGTCTGGTGCAAACATTGATGTTTCCTTAGTATATCATCGTACAGCCTCTTCAAAGGTTTCAAATATTTACACGACAAACCTTTTAAAGTCATGAATATGTGTAAGTAGTGTGCAGGGTAGTGTGCAAGGCCTTGTGTTGGATAGTGTCCAGGGCCTTGTGTTGGATAGTTGTCCAGGGCCCCGTTGCACAAAGCGATCGTAGCGCTAAGGTGATCGTAACTCCAATACTTTAACATAGACTTACGACAGTCATAGGGCTACGATCGCTTTGTGAAACGGGCCCCAGGGCCTTGTGTTGAGTAGTGTGCAGGGCCTTGTGTTGGGTAGTATGTAGGGCCTTGTGTTGAGTAGTCTGCAGGGCCTCGTGTTGGGTGGTGTGCAGGACCTTGTGTTGAGTAGTGTGCAGTGCCTTGTGTTGAGTAGTGTGCGGGGCCTTGTGTTGGGTAGTGTGCACTGACTTGTGATGGGTAGTGCCTATCTGATAAAAACTATAAGCCATCTTGTTTCAAAGAACTTTAACGGCTGACAATTTCTGTTTTTTGATGTGGACGTTTTGTTGTTGATTTGTGTATATACATTTTGTAATCACAGACTCTCAAACATCAGTGTCCCTTATTGTGTCGAGGCTGAGATTGTGTGTCCCTTTTTGTATCGAAGTTAAATTGTGTTTCTCTTATTGTGGGGAAATTGTGCGCCCCTTATTATGACGTGGTTCAGATTCTGTAATCGTCGTTGTGGCGAAGAGCAGATTGTGTGTCCCTTATTGTGACGAGGCTGAATTTCTGTCACCCTTGTTGTGGCGAGGTAGAGATTGCATGTCCCTTGTTGTAACGAGGTAGAGATTGCATGTCCCTTATTGTGACCTGGTTCCGATTGCATGTCCTTTATTGTGACGTAGTTCAGATTGCATGTCCTTTATTGTGACCTGGTTCAGATTGCATGTCCTTTATTGTGACGTGGTTTAGATTGCATGTCCCTTATTGTGACGTAGTTCAGATTGTGTGTCCCTTATTGTGACTTAGTTCAGATTGTGTGTCCCTTATTGTGACGTAGTTCAGATTGTGTGTCCTTTACTCAGACATGGTTCAGACTGCATGTCCTTTATTGTGACGTGGTTCAGATTGCATGTCCCTAATTGTGACTTAGTTCAGAATGCATGTCCCTTATTGTGACGTAGTTCAGATTGTGTGTCCCTTATTGTGACGTAGGTCAGATTGTGTGTCCCTTATTGTGACGTAGTTCAGTTTGTTTGTCCCTTTTTGGGACGTGGTTCAGATTGCATATCCTTATTGTGACGTGGTTCAGAATGCATGTCCTTTATTGTGACCCGGTTCAGATTGCATGTCCCTTATTGTGACGTGGCTCAGAATGCATGTCCTTTATTGTGACGTGGTTCAGAATGCATGTCCTTTATTGTGACCAGGTTCAGATTGCATGTCCCTTATTGTGACGTAGTTCAGATTGTCTGTCCCTTACTGTGACGAGGTTGAATTTGTGTGTCCCATATTTTGACGGGTTCGATCCAACTGTTCGACACCGTGACACATCTACTGAAATCTATGAACACGCATTGTCAATAGCAAACATACTGAAGAGACTAGTCAATTTGAAGATTTCCATATGCTTTATTTCTTATGTTATTGTATGAGTTCAGTCAAAATATACCACAAAGAAGGTTGATAGTTATCTCAAGACACAGTAACACACATTCACACAAAATGTCCAGCAGAAATGTAATGCATCATATTAATATATGCATGTTCCCCATGTATCCATCACTGTTACTGCTGCAACCATTGATCATCGGCTCCCTCCCGTGTATCTGGAACATAAGAAATATTCCCTTATTGTGACTCGGTTCAGATTGCATGTCACTTATTGTGCGTAGTTCAGATTGTGTATCCCTTATTGTGACGTGGTTTGGATTGCATGTCCTTTATTGTGGCGTGGTTCAGATTGCATGCCCTTTATTGTGACGTAATTCAAATTGTGTGTCCTTTATTGTGACGTGGTTCAAATTGCATGTCCCTTATTGTGACGTAGGTCAGATTGTGTGTCCCTTACTGTGACGAGGTTGAATTTGTGTGTCCCCTATTTTGACGGGTTCGATCCAACTGTTGACACTTCTACTGAAAGCTATGAACACGCATTGCCAATAGCAAACAGACTAGTCAATTTGAAGATTTTCATATGCTTTATTTTTTATGTTATTGTGTGAGTTCAGTCAAAATATACCACAAAGAAGGGTGATAGTTATCTCAAGACACAGTAACACACATTCACACAAAATGTCCAGGGGAAATGTAATGCATCATATTAATATATGCATGTTCCCCATGTATCCATCACTGTTACTGCTGCAACCATTGATCATCGGCTCCCTCCCGTGTATCTGGAACATAAGAAATATTCCCAAATCAACCTTGAACAGTTTATGACTATTGGGTAATTCAAACGTCAAAGGCAAATTGCTGATCATTTCAAACACGAAAAACGAGGCAGACGTTTTTTGCTTTGGGTCCCACCCGGGTTTCGAAACCACACACACAGTGAAGCACCTAAACGGCCTCCACAATAATAGACGTCTGACAACTAGTTGTCTAGATCATGTACTTTCTGTACCAACCTGACAAGCGTAAATTGGCACAATTCCCGTGGTCGAACAACAATAAAATCCCCCCAGATATTATATATGTTACAAAAGGCCACTTTCTAAATGCCTTTGTGCATTCTTAGCTTTTATGTAAATTATACTGAAAAGCATCAGTGTTGCGTACCTTCATAGCCTGTAGCGTCCTCGTTCAGTTGTTTCCTGTCTGTTTGGTCTCACAGACAGTCCAACGCAGTGAAGAAGAATCACGATCTTCTTAAGTTTTTGTATCACATTGCCCATAATGATTGTGGTTACATCTGTAACCGGACCAAAGGCGTCAATCATCTCCTCCTTGAAGAGAGCAACTGCCCCGATTAAGGAGGTGATGATAATGGTAACAGCCATAACAATAGCAGTCAGACGCCATGAAAGGAGGTCTGTTATGGGAGCTGGTAGTAGATCAGTCATCTGTAATTATCGGAAAGGAAACAGTTATGTATCAATGATCTGTAATGTCTACACACTGGGTATACCCACGTGTTTGAATAGGGCTGAAGCATTACCTACACGTATAAAACTGATGAATCGATCACAGTGCATGTATAACTGGAAGCAGGTTTTCAGGCTGATTAATAGATAGGCAAGGGCGTGAACAGATAATCTGGACCTGATTTGCATGGACCATATGCCCCGATACAGCTAGATTATGCGTGATGTATGAGACACATGTTGCCGGGTTTATATTTATACAGACAGTGTCAGCTGACACAAGCGAACTGAAAAAGAACCCAAACATTTATCACTTAACCAGCGAGGGTTCCACAACAATAGACGTCTGACAACTAGTACTCTAGATCATCTACTTTCTGTACCAACCTGACAAGCGTAAATTACCTTTTGTTTACTTGCTATTCTGTGCTCGAAGGTTATTTTGCTGGGCCATTATAAGCAGCCCTGCTCTTCATTCATCATATAATCGATGACTTAAACAACATGTTTTGTAAATATAAAACATATATGAATGTTTTAAAACTCAACATCTGTACATGTAATCGTGGATTTCACAACAGTGCATGTGTTTGTCATTTGAAAGAGAACACTTACCTTGGATAAAGTACGTGTGATCGCATCAAATACACGCTCTCAAATACAAGTCGACCTGGTCTAATTACAGCTCGGCGACGTCTGTTGGAATCTGTTCACTTGACCCCATAGCAACACGGTACAGCGGACACAGCTGCTGGCTGGTTGGTGGGACGGTACACTTTACGGGTCCGCAATGAAACAAAATAACAGCACTGTCATAAGCTAATTTACATATCACTTTATCCCACGTTTCTGTTTACCGTAAACAGACGGGCAAATTTTACAATCTACTGATTCCCTTTAATGCGAGTTATATATCGTTTTCCATAATCATAAATATATGCTGGTATTACAACAACAACTGTTTTGTCAGTGAAATTTAACCTTTCATGACATACCACAAAAAACACTACTAGGTGTTTCTGCAGTGGTACAAGTAGTTCTGCAGTGGTACAAGTAGTTCTGCAGTGGTACAAGTAGTTCTGTATGGTACAAGTAGTTATGCAGTGGTACAAGTAGTTCTGCAGTGGTACAAGTAGTTCTGTAGTGGTACAAGTAGTTCTGCAGTGGTACAAGTAGTTCTGCAGTGGTACAAGTAGTTCTGCAGTGGTACAAGTAGTTCTGCAGTGGTACAAGTAGTTCTGCAGTGGTACAAGTGGTTCTGCAGTGGTACAAGTAGTTCTGCAGTGGTACAAGTGGTTCTGCAGTGGTACAAGTAGTTCTGCCATGGTACAAGTAGTTCTGCAGTGGAACAAGTAGTTCTGCGTGGACAGTCTAACAAAAGGACACATTCTGCTCTTATCGCTCTATCAGCGGTCATGCTTTCAGCTTTTTCGTCTGCAAACTGTCCCTTAGCTCAGAATAGAATGTAAATGCATTCATGAACAATGTGAGTACCTTGTATGAGTAATCTATGATACTGATAAACGTCCCCGACGATGCGGATATTAGTAAGTATTGAAAACAACCGTCCTGCTATATCTCTATTCAAACCAGTCATTAATCAACTGAAAAATGATTCAAATGTATTGTGCCTCGTCAAACTTGCATTAACTAAGCAATCTTATATTAACAGCATACGTGTGTCATTAAAGCACACACAATTGTCAATTCCAAATCTGTTTCCTTTCTGGAAACCCCGATGTGGTTCAGATTTAAATATACTGGACAAAAATAGTTAGGGATATATTTTTGAAATTATGAATAATGATCTATTTATTAATTGACACACTGATAAAATGTCAATCATGAAAATATCAATATCCCTTATTTTGTCCAGTATAGGTCCCCACATTTGCCTCTAACAGACAAAATTGTTTCACGCTGTTCTGTGGCTTGGCTGAAATGTATCTGCGTGCCCCGATATCGTTGTGTCAGCGTGCCCCGATGGCGTTGTGTAAGTGTGCCCGATATCGTTGTGCCTGTTGTATACAGGGGGGTTGAGGCACTTTTGGTAGGCCATTTTGTTTTTATGACGTCACATAGGTGTGACCTTTGTGTGACCTAATTGACTGTTGAACCCTTAAGACCCACCCTCCTTTCGAGTCCCCTTTCCGGCCCAGGGCCCCGTTCCCCAAAGCGATCGTAGCGCTATGACAGTCGTAAGTCTATGTTAAAGTATGTGAGTTACGATCATCTTAGCGCTACGATCGCTTTGAGCTCGAGGAACGGGGCCCAGGTGTGTGTGTGACCTTCAGGTTCACCTTAGAGGTGTGTGATTATTATTCAATTATCTTATGAGTGGTATGAGTTTGCCGACTCGAGTGTTCACTCAGCAAAATCCTTTTTCATCGTAGAATTAATATCACACTATGCATATGAGGGGGAATTTAGCTGCTATTTATTAGGTCAAAAGTTGTGAAATATCAGAGCACATTTTGTTAAATCAAAGGTATCACTAGCCAGTTTAAAATACGCTGTCATTTGGTACACAAGGAACAACTCCGAAGTTCTGAGTATTTATTTTACGCATCTGTGAACAATAAACGATTGTAGCTGTTAGCAAATAAAATTCAAGCACCACCGTATATGATATGCGTGAATGGGGCGCTGTCTATGCAATGAGAACAGAATCGCTTACTCGCTGAGCCGTAACTGAAGAGACATGTGACAGCTGTAATTGGATGAAATGGTGTAAGGTGTTATGTTTGTTAAAAGCACCTCCATCCAGTCATTTAATCTGACCACCATTTTAAGTATTTAATGCTGTCATTTGTATCACTTATGCTTATGCGTGTACAGATACGTTCAAGTAGGTGACAGTTTGTGCGGACCTGAGGGGTTGAGGTGTTTAGCTTCCTGTGTGTGGCCTTCTGTGCTCGCAAAGTTAGCCGGTTCAAGTTGACCAGAAATTGTTTTATTGTAATTTAAAGGCCAGACTGTAATCATGTGTACATGGAATGGCTGTTGATAATTTTCAGCGTGATGGCACACAGCCTACAATGAATATATGCTGACAAGTGGTCAGCTTCCATTATGTAGGGAAAGAAGTGTCTGACCAGAATTAGATACAAGAAATAATAAGCAGTTGAGCACCGATGGTCACTGAATATCCGAAGTAGGGTGTCAAGTGGTTGTACAGTGATGAAATGACTCAGCATTTGTCATATATATTACTGAATAAGAAAACAGAAGAAGAAGAAGAAGGGTTTATTTTGTATAAAGGCCATCCGACCCATCGTACAAGGTGGTACAATAGTGATTTTGGTTACCATTTTCATACAACAACGCTAACAGGAGCAGAATAAACATGTTCTAAGAACTTGACAAAATTATTTATGATGTTATTGTCGGATGATGTACATATGCTGCGGAGTGAATAATAATATCCATCGACCGTTTTCGGAATGTAACGCCGACGCATATCCTCATCGCGTTTACAAATATAGACAATATGGATTTCATCCTCAATACTTTTACAGTGTTTACATAATACAATATCATCATTGCAGGAGGCAGTACCTCTTCTAATATATTTGATACCTACTGCATTACATCCTGATCTAAATAATGTGAACAGACGCTTGCACTTATTACTTATGTTCAATGATAAATATTTTTCACAGGTCAACAGAGATTTATGGGACTTATAGAAAGACAGCGAAGGAACACCTAGAGACAAATGCCACTCTTGCATAGAGCAGTTGTTAATTCTGTCAGTAAACATATATGGAAACATTTTTGTATCACCGACATCTTGTGAAATCCAAGCAGTACCAAAGCCAAAATAGAAAACAAATCACTGACATGCCGAGCCCATGGGTGACGTTTCCTGAATTCAAGAGATAATATAAATCGATAACATTGATATGGATATCTACTTTGATGCATTCTTAATAATCTTAGCCAGTATTTAATACATTTGACATAATACACATTGCTTAAGGGTGCCCTCCCACATTCCCCATATGCAACAGCATTAGATGATCTGTAACTAATCTGAAGCAAAAATTTGCCAAATTTTCGATGGACAATTTCAATACTTTCTCTCTCTTTTTAAACCCCCATATCTCAGCACCATATGTTAGAATCGGTACAATCTTTTTATCAAAAATATAAAATCCTTCTGAGAGTGACATATCACATCGTCTTATAAATGACTTGATTTTCATAAATATTGACAGTTTCCATTCGAATGCCATTATAGAACCATTTTTAGTCCACCCATTTTAAAAAACAATTATTTTACTTTTATCCGTATTAATATACATGCCCCATTAATGGGAATACATGTGTAGGGCGTCAAGGCGGCGCTGTAATCTAACAACAGTATCAGCTATCAAAACCAAATCATCTGCAAATAACAGAGCAATAATATTCAACAAATTTTCGGAGATAAATATACCAAAGAAAAACTGCCGGAATACCATCATCGCCTGGGGATTTGTTACATTTTAGATGTCTGATAGCATTTATTACATCCTGATCTGTAAAGTCACATGATAAAATATCATCGTCATTGATACCATCTACACATGTATTAAAGTCATGTTTATCAACATATGATTTGGCATCTTCTGGAATGTTGCCATCTTCTGGCAACGTCGGATTTAACAAGTCCTTAAAGTATTCAGCCCATGTCGATGGCGTTACACTTTTTTCCATGGCGCGAGTATATTTTTTTCACAAGTCGCCAAAATGCTGAGTAGTCTGCGGAACAAGCTGCATCATGTATGATGTGAGTAATGGAACGTTTATAGCTATCTTTCTTAGTTTTACAAGTCTGTTTCAACTGAGATCTAATGTCTTTGTATCTATTCAGATTTTCAAATGTTGTTGTTTTTCTAAACACATTAAGCAGTTTATACTTTTCATGTTTAAGAGTCTGACACTGTTGATCAAATCATTCTGGTTGTTGTTTATCGTTGATGCTATTGGGTTGTCTACATTCCATATCTCGCCAACAGGTTTGCAGAATGCTCTGCAGTATGTTTAATGCTTTGTCAGTGTTGACATGTAGACTGCTTATAAAGTCCTGAAACAAATCACTTGTATCAGCCTTTTGCAGGTTATCAAGATATAATTGTGATTTTTCATTTTTCCATTTAAATATATTTCTGTTACTACAATGAAAATACTTATCTTCGGCTGGCCTGTCCACATTAGACTGTTACAGGTCATTGGCTCCCTCCCTCTGCAAGCAGTTTGCGTTCTGCTGTTTATTTTGTTGACAGTTACATACACAGATTCTTTAATACAAATGCATAAAATCGGTGATTTACAATGTGATTAGGTTGTCTGACAAAACATCCACTTGCACAGTTTGAGATCGATTGGGTTACTAGATGAAGAGATATTTTTTTAAAAACCCGGGTCCACATGCAATTCATGCCAAACTATAGCGAGTGTGGTCCGTGTATATCTCCGGCGGACTTGACTAGAGCTCCAGAACTATCGGGCATGAACTTAACATCATTTATAACTAAAAAATGGCCTTTGATGTATGCTGTTTTGCCTTGGTCCCTGGCCTGTTTGAGGTGGGGCGGTCCCCCTACCCCTACCACCCTCCCCTTCACTCTTCCCAACCTGTGGACAGTGTCGAAAAGAATATCATCTCAATTTTGTTGACATAACGTACCCTTCCCTTCGTAAATGAATAAACTTTCCTTTTAGATTCACTGGACTCTTCATACCATCCTTCCATTTCCATTCCAATTAAAATCAAATTATTTCTTCTGGAGTAGTTCTCAGTTCTATCAAGTTTGGCCTCTAAAGCAGTGATAGTGTTTGCCTGAGACATCACTATCTTCTTAAGATCTCTATTTTCGGTTTGAATTTGTTCCAACTGATTATTTAATTTGGCATTGTTTTGGTCCACTGTAGTTTTCAGGGTCGTAAGCATTTCACTCATGGACGCTATTGTCTTATTCAACGCATCAAATTGGCCAGTCAGTGCTTTTATAGACTCACTCACGCTGTTGTCCGCCTCTGTGTCCGGCTGGCATCCCTTCCCCCTTGTGTTGGGGCCGGGTCCCGGGTTGGACTCGATGTCACCCGACAACAAAAGCTGCCATCTAGTATCAAATGTAAACATTGTAGAGTCCAAGCAACTCATCTCGCACGTGCACATGCTTGAAATTTCTTGACAATAATTAAAGTTGTCTGTGCTGGGTAAATGAGAGAAAATATGTTCGGGATTAACACTGTATATCAGTAGACAGTGACTCATCAGCATAATGACAGTTAACGTGACACTAACTGCGTACAGCCTGTAGGCGAGATCCATACCTGGAGTCCATGTTGTCTCCGACATGTACTTGCGAACATGTTCAATTTGTCTGTGACCCCTGGGCATCTTAAAACACCCAATTCTACACCTCCAACAGTCCACGTCGATCCCCATTCTTCATTAAACGTATTGTGCCCAATTGACAAAGAAAGAAAACATATTTTTATCTCCCGCGATGTCGTCGCCGTATCTACCTATTCAGGGGCAGGTAACCATTTGTGTATATATATTTTGTCATCACAGGCTCTTAAACATTTTGGAAGTCTCCGAGGCTGAGGTTGTGTGACACTTATTGATTAGAAGTTCAGATTGTGTATTCCTTTTTGTGGAGAAGTTAGATTGTGTTTCTCTTCTTGTGGCGAGATCGTGCGCCCCTTATTGTGACGAGGTTTAGATTCTGTGTTCGTCATTGTGGCGAAGTTCAGATTGTGTGTCTCTTATTGTGTCGAGGCTGAGTTTCTGTCACACTTATTGTGTCGAGGCTGAGTTTCTGTCACAATTATTGTGTCGAGGTTGAGTTTCTGTCACACTTATTGTGGCGAGGCTGAGTTTCTGTCACCCTTATTGTGACGTGGCTGCGATTGTGTGCCCCTTATTGTGACGTGGCTGACATTGTATGTCCTTTATGGCGACGTGGTTCAGATTGTGTGCCCCTTATTGTGGCGTAGTTCAGATTGTGTGTCCCTTATTTGGACGTTGTGCAGATGGTGTGTCCCTTATTGTGACTCGGTTCAGATTGCATGTCACTTATTGTGCGTAGTTCAGATTGTGTATCCCTTATTGTGACGTGGTTTGGATTGCATGTCCTTTATTGTGGCGTGGTTCAGATTGCATGCCCTTTATTGTGACGTAATTCAAATTGTGTGTCCTTTATTGTGACGTGGTTCAAATTGCATGTCCCTTATTGTGACGTAGGTCAGATTGTGTGTCCCTTACTGTGACGAGGTTGAATTTGTGTGTCCCCTATTTTGACGGGTTCGATCCAACTGTTGACACTTCTACTGAAAGCTATGAACACGCATTGCCAATAGCAAACAGACTAGTCAATTTGAAGATTTTCATATGCTTTATTTTTTATGTTATTGTGTGAGTTCAGTCAAAATATACCACAAAGAAGGGTGATAGTTATCTCAAGACACAGTAACAAAAATTTGACAGACACACATTAACACAAAATGTCCAGCAGAAATGTAATGCATCATATTAATATATGCATGTTCCCCATGTATCCTTCACTGTTACTGCTGCAACCATTGATCATCGGCTCCCTCCCGTGTATCTGGAACATAAGAAATATTCCCAAATCAACCTTGAACAGTTTATGACTATTGGGTAATTCAAACGTCAAATGCAAATTACTGATCGTTTCATACACGACAAATAAGGTAGACGTTTTTGCTTTGGGTCCCACCCGGGATTCGAAACCACACACACAGTGAAGCACCTAAACACCAAGACACTAAGTCAGCGATCTAACCCACTCAGCCAGTGCGGCTTCCACAATAATAGACGTCTGACAACTAGTAGTCTAGATCATGTACTTTCTGTACCAACCTGACAAGCGTAAATTGGCACAATTCCCGTGGTCGAACAACAATAAAATCCCAAACATTACATATGTTACAAAGGACCACGTTCTTAATACCATTGTGTAATCTCAGCTCCTGTGTAAACTACACTGATGCTTTGGGTGCGTACCGGCATTGTCTGTCGCGTCCTCGCTCAGATGTTTCCTGCCTGTTTGGTTTCGGACTCGCGATCTTCTTAAGTTTTTGTATCACATTGCCCATAATGTTGGTGGTTATATCTGTAACCACACCAAAGGCGTCAATCATCTCCTCCTTGAAGAGAGCAACTGCCCCGAAAATGGAGGTGACGATAATGGTAACAGCCATAACAATAGCAGTCAGACGCCATGAAAGGAGGTCTGTTATGGGAGCTGGTAGTAGATCAGTCATCTGTAATTATCGGAAAGGATACAATCATATATCAATGATCTGTAATGTCTACACATTAGGGCCGAAGCATCACCTACACGTATAAAACAGATGAATTTATAGTGTATTTATAGCTTGAAAACAGGTTTACAAACTGATCAAATGGTGTGGTAGCACAAGGGTGATTCTTAGACTTGTATACTTGCTACTTTAGTGTTCGGACATTATTTTGTTGTCACTCTGTATTACTGTCAGTTTTCAGCACCAACACATTGTTGTAAGCTGTGCTGCTAGGAGCAGCCTGCACTTTATTCATCATACAACGGGTGATTTATATATTTTGTAGATATACAAAAAGCTGTGAAACTCATCATCTTTGCAAGTATAACCGTGGATGTTACTCATTTAATGCTATTTGAAAGAGATCACTTACCTTTGATAATCTGAAGTACGGCTGATAGAATCATCAACACTCACTATCAGCGTCTCGCAGAACTAAAAGTCTATATGGTATGGTTGCATGGGTGGCACGTGACCAGTGGGTCATTAGCATTTGAATGACAAAGCCCAAAACCACTCCCTCACTCAGGAACAACTGTTTCCTGGCTGGCTGCCACAGTAATACACATCATGCCAAGTGTCATGACGTATTGTACTGTTAAGCATATATATATATTTAAATCTTTAATCCTCGCAAAGACACGAGGGCCTGTGCTCGTTGCGTGATGAAACACAACAACATCACTGTGATAAGCTAATATGCAATATCACTTGACATCAGCTTCCTCTTGACTGTACGCAAACGCGCAAATTGTAGAATCTGAGCAGTCTATTTAAAGTTCTTCAGTGCGATTTGCATATTATTTCACATAATCATAAATATATGCTGCTGCTACTACTGCAATAACAACTGGATGTCTTGGCAGTGAAAGTTAATCTTTCATGACATACCACAAAAACATTACTAGGTGTTTCTGCAGTGGTACAAATGGTTACAAGTGAATAGTCTATCAACAGGAAATACTGTTCTTAGCGATAACGCTTTCGGCTTCCGCGTCTGCCAACTGTCCCTTTGCTCTGAATAAATATAAATGCATTCATGATCATTGAGAGTACCTTGTATGAGTAATCTATGATATTGATAAACGTCTCCGACGACGCGAATTTTAGGAAGTAATACAAAATCGTTCAGCAATATCTCTCTTCAAACCTGTCATAAACCAACTGAATAATCATTCAGATTCATTGCACCTCGTCAAATTTGCATTAACTCAGCAAACTTGTATTTCCTTCTGGACACCCCGATGTGGTTCAGATTAAAAAAGGTCCTCACAGTTGCCTCTAACAGACAAAATTGTTTAGCTCTGGGACTCGGCTGAAATGTATTTGCGTGCCCCGATATCGTTGTGTCAGCGTGCCCCGATGTTGTTGCGCCGATGTCGTGGATCGTTGCTCATACCGTGTATCAAGAATAATGTTGACTCGGATGCCACTCATACCTGGTGGACTGGTAGAATATGTTTCCTGTGTCACGGCAGTCTGTAGATGGTCGTGCCTGGATCAGACAATCCAGTAACTAACACCGTGAATTGGCTTGGAAGCTCTGCCTCTTAGCCACGCAATTCTAACACCAATCTGTACAGGAATAGGTATAAAATCGCAGTGTGTTTACTCAGTAGGTGACAAGATATGATTATCTCTGAAGATCCACAGAAGCGGATCTAGAGATTGAAAGGATAAATCTTTCAACTATTACCATGGAGCCGTTACAAAACATATAGGTTGATAATTTATTTCAATATTTCAATACAAGTACATAATTGTGTACAAAGGACCATGTTACATCAGAAAATGAATAAAACTGTTACAACATTGCATATACATACATACACGCACGCACGCAGGCAGGCACGCAAGCACACACGCACACATACATACATACATACACACACACACACACACATACATACATACATACATACATACATACATACATACATACATACATACATACATACATACATACATACATACATACATACATACATACATACATACATTAAATACATGACTTTGTCATGGTGAAGTGACGTCATGAACAATGCTATGACGTCACGTTTCTTCTATGGCGTTGCGTTCTACATGCGGCGACGGCGGGTAGACAGCCTATGTTTAAAAGTAGATCTGGGTTTATTTTCCTCAATTTGACGACTTCGGAAATAAACAGAATATTATATTCGTGCCCATATCATACTATGTTTACGACGCTCGTGCCTAAATATCGGTATATGCCTCGCTCTCGCTCAGGAAATATCAACATTTAGGAACTCGTGTCGTAAAGATAGTATGACATAGGCATTCCTTTAATATCCTATATATATTTTGACGACATTGTTGATACCTGAGATAGGATAGAGACCCGCGGATCCATCTTACCTTTGTCCTGGGGGGGGTCATCACCTGATTCCTGTATAGACATGATCACGTATTCCTCTGTGGATGGACACTTAGTTGCCACTGAAGTTATACCGGACCCTACCAGACCCAAGTCAACCGTCGACTGAGACTTGCGTCTGTTGCCGTAAACACACTGTGTTGTGGAAGAGAGGAAGGAAGTTGTGTGGCGAAAATCACATTTCACAAAGTGACTGACAATTGTTATTTCCTGTATAGCAAATCATAATTAATATCTATAATATATTCTTTGTGTATGTGTGCGCGTGTGTGTATTATGTGTATGTATACTCGTGTGTGTCTACATATATGTGATTTCTGTGTTTGTGTGAGTGTGTGTGTTTCTATGTGTCTGTATTTGTGTATAACAGGGTGATTATATATGTGCATGAGTTTGTCTGTGTCTATGTATCTGCCTCAATGTACACGTGTGTGTAGATGTGTGTGTGTGTGAGTGTGTGTGTCTGCTCGCTCTGTGTACTACTTTCTGTATGCATATGTGGAGGGAAGTATGCTAGCATTTGTCGATGTGTGTGTGTATCAATGTGTGTGTGTGTGCGTGTATCAATGTGTGTGTGTGTGCTCGCTCTGTGTACTACTTTCTGTATGCATGTGTGGAGGGAAGTATGCTAGCATTTGTCGATGTGTGTGTGTGTGTGTGTGTGTGTGCGCGCGCGTGTATCAATGTGTGTGTGTGTGCTCGCTCTGTGTACTACTTTCTTTATGCATGTGTGGAGGGAAGTATGCTAGCATACGTCGATGTGTGTGTGTATCAATGTGTGTGTGTGGAGGGGGTGTGTGAATGATGGAAGCGTGGATGGATATGGATGGATGAATGCTTCAACAGTAGACTAATAATGCTGATAATGTTCAGCCCTACATTGGGGAAGAACAACAAATGTATCAACAGAGCAATAGCAACACGTATTTCCCAAACTATAAGTAACAACAATTTTCTAAGTAACAAAACTATTTCTCGTGCATATCACTGGTTTGTGTCTCCAGCATAATCAACGACCATTCCCATATACATTTACATAAGTTTAAGCCACAATTAGGGAACTTTAAATTTAAAAAAACCGCTCTCTCTTCGGTGAATATAACCCCAACAATATGCCCAATTTTGACTATGGTCAGAAAATAGATTCAATTTCATGGAAAGGGCAAAAAATCTGTGAATGGACCACTGAAAATCAGTGAAGACGCCAGGTGTTCGCGAAAATGTGTTTAGAAACTGTAAGCATTCGCAGCCCAGCTCCACACATCAGTATTGTCATGCAACGGCGGTCTGTAGAATAATTAGAAAATCATTAAAGCAGAAACTGCAGTTATTGAATATGTTTCACGACTACCGGGTAGAAGTTCAGAGATTCTGGGCAAGAAAATCAGATGTTTTTGCTTCTGAAACAACACTGGCACAAAATGAAGAAAGGTATTTTTGCTACAGAAACAAAATATTTGGAGATGAGACTGTTCACGACAGAAAATTACAATGAATGGTGGATAGTGTGTTCACACTGACTCGACTTTATCGCTGCAGTTAATGTTTGTATACATAACACTATTATTCCACTGTATATACCACAACACACTCACACGGATCTCAATAGACATGTGTCAGCCCAAAGAAGAGGGTGTCATTCCTAAGAAATATAATAATTATTGTTGGGTTCAATTTGGAAAAATATGTTCAATTTTTAATAGCAACCAACTTAACCATGAGTTTTGTGTTATTTGTGATCAGCCCACTTTAAGAACATAACTTCAAGTTTGTTTGACCTGTAAAAGAGATTTTTAAACGTCACGCGTGAAGACTGCGAATGTTTGCACATATGTAACATACATATTAAATTTTACCCCAACCCCAACCACACACACCTACGCGCGCACACACACAGGCACAAGCACACGGACACACACATATTGCTGTACGTATCCAGTATGTGCCTGTGCACAAGTATAAACACTAACACAGTATTCTCACTATCAGAGTCTACCACGCCCTGTGCATCCTTTCCCTGTTACGTTTACATTCACTTTCACGTATCTGCCGCAAACATCCCACAGGCGATACAGAGTGCAATGACGAATAGGTCACCGAAATTCAGTATTGTCACCATGCGTTCAAGACAACCTGGTTAGGCCTGCTCGTCAGTGTCCGGTAGTTTCCGTCGCTCGTGTCGACGTACGTCTCAGAGGGCGAGGGGTGTAAAACTACGGTGTGAAATGACAATAAAATATCAACGCCAGATATATTCAATCAGAGATTATATTGAAAAAATGGTTCCACTGGGCGAGGCAAAATGTATCCACCTATCGTTCGGTCCAGCCTCTTGGTTTAATGCTGGTGTGCCTAGCGTTGACTGTACTGTTGATGTTGGTGTTGCCACTTGTGATGTCAGGGTAGTCTGTCTCACAGTCCCTGAACCACATCATTTTCCCCTACAGCCTAGCCTTCCCTGTAGTGCTAAAGCCCTAAACGAAGCAAGTCTAGATTTCCCCTAGGGCTCCTTTTCAATTTAAATGGGCTTGTTTGTTACTATCAAAATTATATATATTCAGAGACTAAGCCTTAGTCTAGTGTCAGGGATGGTGGCCCAAGGTTAACGTCACCGACCTCCTGTATCGGGTATTTCAGTCTGTCTTTATCAGCGTGCAGTATTGGCAATGAACAAGTTCCTGTATATATTGGCAATGAACAAGTTCCTGTATAATCTTGCCGAGCTCTTTGTTGTAAATCACCAACACCCCCTTTAGACGCCACAGCGACGATGACAAGAGGCTACACCAACACCCTTAACCACAGCAATCTCAGCCTTGTTGAGGTGAACATTTAATGGTGTTGTCGAGGCATTATGAGGTGGAGTAGATGATGTCGGGGGTGTCGTCCTCACTGCTTCAGTAGTTGCAAGAAAGACAGTACTTTGTAACCTGAATGATTCATGTGGGGATCAAGCGGACCGAAATATGTCCTTTTCACATTGAAATTTTGTAAAAATACAGAAAGTCACAGATGTGCGTAGCGAATACATTTGTGTCATGTGGCAACAAAGATTAACCTAACAGTCGCTTTGAGGAGGTCTTTCCGACACCCACATGACAGTGTATGTCATATCAGATTAAGCTACATGGAGCAGCGTGTGTTGTCAACAATACACAGCCTGGCTACAACTTCGGGGAAGTAGACTATGTGACCACTTCTTGCATGAATCACTTACAACTACACGGCAAAGTTGACCTGACTAAAACTAGAAGTACCCATATCTATTATCAGAGTAGAAATTACACTCAGCATGTTTCATCTGTTGGAATGTCAACAAGCTGTGGCCACGAATAGTAATCTCAAGGTCACGCTACCGGCTGACGACGAGAGGTCAGCGAGTGCAAAGTTCTATGTTTGTGTGTAAGGGCTTTAGTGGTACATCAAGGTGATAACCGTGATCTAAAGATGAAGAACATCGATGTTATATCTTGGTTGTATATTTAAAGTCACTTAATTGTCTTCTTAAAGTCATTCTAAATTAGCTGGAAGAATAGCTAGGCGAATCTGATGAATCATACTGAAGGTAATCATACGAATATTAAGAAACTGGGCAGTTAGGATACAGTTATGATACAGTAATGATACAGTTATGATACATTTATGATACAGTTATGATACAGTAATGATACAGTAATGATACAGTGATGATAGTTATGATACAGTAATGATACAGTGATACAGTAATGATACAGTTATGATATGATACAGTTATGATACAGTTATGATACAGTAATGATAGTTATATACAGTAATGATACAGTGATACAGTAATGATACAGTTATGATACAGTAATGATACAGTTATGATACAGTAATGAAACAGTTATGATACAGTTATGATACAGTAATGATACAGTTATGATACAGTATTGAAGATATCTGGCTGGAGTGTGTCGGTCAACTGGCTGATATGGTCAGTGATGTGGTTGAGGGTGATCGCTTTGGTGTTCGGTGATGTTTGATGCTTTCACTTACAAGTCTTTTGGAGGCCGTATGGAGGATGGCTCGAGTACCGGGTGAGCTGATAGGTGATGCGGTCTTGAGGCCTTTGGGTATGATGTCTCGGTCTCTACACCCCATGAGCAATCATTATGTGAGGTGGTTGCTGGCTTGTACATGCTTCTTCCTAGTAGACTGAGGGGTGTCCTCCCAAAGGTTAGACGCGTTAAAACAACAAATGTTATGGTTGGTTGCACTGAGGTTCACTACACTGTTACCGTCGTTAAATTAATGGACTAGTCCAAATGTACTAATCCAAACACAAAGAGAAGGGATTATGGATAATGACAATGACGTTATTTGGCATAAAACAAAATAAGTCAATTTAACAAGATAATTTAAATGGTCAATCAAATCATTCAAGATTTAGGATTTCACATCTTTCACATCATTCACTATACAGGCAAGAATGTCAACCAAGTCTGAGCAAATGCCCAACTGCATTGAGGAATTCCATGTTTGTCATGTTTTCGATATCCAGAGGCATTCGACCAAGTTCTCCATATAACATAAAACTTGGAGTAGAGTTTCTTTAATTTGAGCTGCACCAAAACCGTGATTGCTCTTTTCAAGATTAATCTCTACTGCATGGTATCAAGGCGCATAACTAGGTCACGATTACTCATGGCTAACTTTAGCACTTCGCTATATTTCATGAAGAAGTACGAGTATATATCGAGTATATACTCGAACAGCAAATTCTTTTACCATTAAACTATAATGTCCTTCAATTAATGAACTGACATGAGACTAATATTTCCTCATTAATAAGCTTTATGCAGGCTTTAGCTACAGTCAGAGACTGGGGTACAAATCACTGAGGCTAATCATTAAACTACTACCAGCTGCTGCAGTAGGAGGAAATGAAGTAACCTATATGATAAAACTCCAGCCAGTCTTACCGGGACAATATGTCTAACTGTTGTGTTATGGGGCAGTGCTGTGTAGCGGGAATGTGAGATCAATCTTGTGTCGCCATCAAATCGATTTTGTTATTCGCCACACCTGCCGGAGCAGGTAAACATTAACGTGATGGTGTAATTTCTAAACGTGAGGGTGTACATGTGCTATGATCTTAATCGATTGCTCGTTTCTTTCAGGCAACGCCATATGTTGACTGATGTATATAATGCACAATCCAAAAAACAATTCATGGTAGTCTGTGTCCGTACGGTGTCGACCAATCTGAATGATACAATGTCATGTCACACACTAAGACCAGGATGTCAGCTGATTCCCTTTGTTATGTTTTGTAATTTTAATTTTAAACTCAACAGGTTTTTACTTAAGTCTGTTCATAGCGGTGTGTTTATCACTAAACTACTGTAGTGAATATTCCGAAATCTTGGAGCATACAAAGGCCGAGTTGCCAACCGGTTCCTTTTGTTATATAGGGTTTCCATGGTAACATGTTTGACGTTCATGTACTTCACAGAGATGTGTTTTCCACAGTCTTTCTCCAAAGCTACTGATTTTCTTCAGCACGAACACACAGCTAAAAACTGTAAATCGGTGCTTTGAATTCTTGACAGAGTTCAATTATTATCGTCTAACTCATACCCAAACACTAACACTTATCAGATAACTGTCAAATGTTATACTCCCTTAACTCTGTCAAATGTTAAACTCCTTTAACTCAGTCAAATGTTATACTTCTTTGACTGGCATTTTATAAGTTGGGAACTACAATATAGAATACTCCTTTATGGATAAAAAGTTCTTTTTTAACTCTGTCAAATGTTATACGTTTCTCTACAGATGTCTTGTAACTCTGTCAAATGTTATACTCCCTTAACTCAGTCAAATGTTATACTCCCTTAACTCAGTCAAATGTTATACTCCCTTAACTCAGTCAAATGTTATACTCCTTAACTCTGTCAAATGTTATACTCCCTTAACTCTGTCAAATGTTATACTCCCTTAACTCTGTCAAATGTTATACTCCCTTAACTCAGTCAAATGTTATACTCCCTTAACTCTGTCAAATGTTATACTCCTTAACTCAATCAAATGTTATACTCCCTTAACTCAGTCAAATGTTATACTCCCTTAACTCAGTCAAATGTTATACTCCCTTAACTCTGTCAAATGTTATATTCCCTTAACTCAGTCAAATGTTATACTCCCTTAACTCAATCACAAATTTCAAATGTCACCAAGTTTCAACATACTGGTTCATCGCGCAACACCAGACGAAGTTGGAGAAGTGGTTGAGGAAGACGCAACACAAGTGTCCCAGACACAACGCCTGAACGTTTATTTTATGTGTTCCGTTTTATAATAAACATCGATATCATGTGCCTAATTCCATTCACCGCGTGTATGGTCGTGCCGCTACATCATCAGTCAAGTGTACCGGTCAGTGGGTCAGTTTGCACACGATTCAGTTTCAGTCATCCGTGACCATAAAGGCTAACGTCACATTACCATCTTATCCTACCGGGTACCCATTCACTGCCGGATAAACATTAGGGACAAAGCCATTTGCCTTTTCTGACAACACATGTGCTGGTCATGTTTGACATGTATGCCGTTTACTTTTTCAAGGGGTCATGAGTGGTCCTATTAGTAGTCTTAGGCGTCGCAGCTGACTGAGTTAAGTCCATTCCCCGACATATTCATATATCGTGGGTTCCAAATGAAGATTATATTTGTCAGAACTATTCCGACGCTCGTGGGTCTCACCTAAGATATACATTCTTAGAAATGCATAGCCTCGGGCATTTCTGCCATATTACACAATCAAGCAATGCAGTTCTGCACTTCAGCGTCATATTATACTGTCAAGGTTTCACTTGATGAAAGATTTTATAAGACTCTAACTAACAAAAATAATTTATTGACATTCCAACATTTCATTACACACCATCAACCATTCGTTTTCAGGAATATACAGCATATGTACAGAGGCATTGGATGCTCGTTTAAGGAACGGTTTAAAGGTTTGTCCAGTTTCTGCAATGGACTGATAGGTAGGCGCTTTGAGCATCTAAGTAATGCTCATTACACCTTTCATTCTCGGGAATGCCTGAAATCATAATATATAGAGGCATTGGATGCTCGTTTGAAGAACGGTTTGAAAGATATATTTAGTTCCATTTATATACTGATATGTCAAAGCTATAGCCATCTAAATAACGCACATTCAACCTTTCATTCTCAGGAGAGTCAGAAGGCATATGTAAACCCGTTTCTAATCAGTCCATTAGAGGGTATTAAAGCTTATTTGGTTGACTTACATGTCAAAGCCATGGAGATCTAACTATAACAAATTCGACCTTTCATTCTCAGAAATGTCAGAAAGCATATATGTGAACATGAATCGGATCAGTCTGTTATCAATAACTTTGAAGGTTGGTTCCCTTGACTGATAGGACATGAAGCTCTACATAGGTGGTATAAGTGATCCCCATGAGTGATTCCCTAATGATGCCAGTGAAACGATGCGGTTCCAGTGCGTGTGTATGAGGTCAAGGAGGGCGCTGTCTGTGCCTGATACTGATGGTGTTCCTGCATGACATCGCCCACCTGATCCATGAAACAGTGGCACAGTCCTTCACATGTCCAGCACACCATGACGCAGTATCTTCCTGACAAGGGTATATTTCATTAGTCAGCCACGGTAACAGTTGGAATAAGCAGATCTGGAAGAAAAAAACAGATGTCGGTCACCATGGATATAGTTTAGCAGTTATCACCTTCGACGGAAGTGGAATGGTGAATTATCAAAACCATTTGAATAACAATGATTCCGAGAAACAATATCTAAATATATATATGTCATACTACAAGAAAAAGATAGCTGAGCGTAAAATGTTTTTTGCAACTACCCGTGGAACTGGAACTGTGTTCGTGGTGTTATGGTTCCAAGCGCCAACTTCCTGTATAGGATACTTCACAGGTTCACTGTCGACGTCCTTGCGGGGCAGTATTGCTTGCACCATCTTGTACAGCCTGTCTCCAAATAAGATCCCCAGTATCCCTAGAGCAGCGACCAACACTATCATGGAGCCTAGTGCTATCAGGACAACGTGTGAGGTGGGAAGGTGTCCTTCTGGCAAAGGTGCTGACGTAGACGTATCGACGACGCGGGACGGTGTCCCAGTAACCGATGTTGTGGTAGGTTTCGACGTTGGTAAGAAACCTGAAGTAAAAACATCAAACTCTAAAATGGTGTCTTACACCCTGGAACAAAATCCATGGCGTTGTTTACTAAACTACATACATATAATATAAATACTGTGAAGTAATATGAAGTACTTACACCATGGATATACAAATACTAACTAGGCCGAATGAAACCGGTTGTGAGTACCTCTGTGTACATGGTTAAATACATGTAAATGGTTACATCCGTGTGAAATTATCGAAGAAACCTTTCTTGTTCTCAGAGTTGACTGAGGAAGCTTTTAAGGCGGAGTCTGTGCCGTATGAAAAGTCTTCGGCAACACCTGCGCCCTAATAGAGAGAAAGCGAATGAGAGGATGTGAGTGTTTATCAGTTTTAAGGGGCTTTTCACTCGTCACGCCGAAGGCCGAGGTTCGATTCCCCACATGGGTACAATGTGTGAAGCCCATTTCTGGTGTGCCCCGCCGTGATATTGCTGGAATATTGCTAAAAGCGGCGTAAAACCTATCCACTCTCACTCATCAGTTCTGGAGACAACATGAAAGCTATATCCACGAGTTACACATTACAACACGGTTCTCAGTGTTGAATAACACCAGAATGTTGCAATAACAAATATTAATCTTGTATGACAAACGCCGCACCATGTGACTAGTCCGTCGATTGTACGAACAAGATTAACCTGGGCCAAACATAACTCATTGATAAAACCAACACGCGGAAGTATATGTCAGCTGATTGGTACACTTTACAGCTTAACCGTCTTAACCGGCTCAGTGTGACACGCTATAAGAATCAATAACCGACAAGGCAGTTGTAAATTCTTGAATGCTGGCTTGTGATTACGGTAAAGTTATCTGTATGAGTTATTGAGATGTTTTATAGTCATTCATGTGGCAAGAAAGTTAACAACGAACGTTTCTTAAATGTCCGAAAACCCATAATACGAGTGTAGGCCTGCTCCAATGTCCTACTTCTGTTAAGAGAAGCAGTTATGAGAATATCAATGACATGCAAGTAAACTGTAAAGCAAATTAAAGCTCACGTCTTACCTGGACAGTATGTCTGACACTTGACGAGCGTATCTTGTATTTCTGGGTGGTCACAGATCACATCACAGAAGTCACACATGTGAGAGTCCACGTCGAAAACTGGTTCTGGGCCACACATAGGGAGACAGTGTGACAGCATAATACTCATCAGCATCATAATCAGAATAATTTGAAACATCGTACACATCTTCATAGCCTTGATAATCTCAACAATACAAACAAGCATTCCTATAGAGTTGCACTACACATTGAGCGACACCGTGCGTCCAGGTCTGAGTGTGTGCTTCGACTGCTGGTGAATGAAGCTCGTCATAGGCAGTGTAACATGTATCCGGACTGAACCGGAAGCTAAGGTTAATCTCGTCACTCAAGGCTCGTCCCAAGACAATTAATGAAGGTAAAAGAGATGTCTGATTTTTTTATGACCACGAAGATTATATATTGACATGAATAGTGTATCTAAAAGAGGAATATGTGTACACAAGACTCGATACTGTCAGTTGCCGTCACTGCAGTGTTGGTTAACCTCTATTGACAAAAGAGATGGGAAATATGAACTATTCTTATCCCAATTTTCCCAGCCGCTGTAGAAAATTATGCCCTGACTTGAAAAAAATATTGGTGAACGAGTATTTGTTCATTCTTCATCTATTTTAAAAGAAATTCGTCATTGTTTAAAATACATACATTGTCCAAATTATTTTAAAGGCATGTTTCTGCATATACACACGAAACAAATAAAGGGGACACTTGAGCAGTTTACGGGTCCCCAGGGACCCGGAAGTAGAAATGTATTTTTATAGCTCGCGCTTATAAGGAGCACGCGCCGAAGGCGCATTTGCTGCCTTCGGTAGTAAGTGACGCGCGCAGCGCGTCATATATATAGAGAAGCACGCTTGATTTCAATCTTGTTTATTTTGACTCTGCTTTAGCGGCTGTAAGGAGAATGGTGTATGATTTGTATGAGCTGTGTAGAGATGAGAGAAAAGTTGATGGATTGGTTGGAAGCGTTTGGTTTGATTGGAAATTTGTGGGAAGTGTGTGAAGTGTGACAGTGGGAGTATAGGAAAGCGAAAAGGATTCGAGTCGGAGCGAGGGTTGGTGTGTGGCGTTGTTCAAATAAAATATGCAATCATAAAATTGTAGCAAGGCGTGATTCTTGGTCTTTTAAGTCTCATTTGTCCGTTAGTGAAATTATGAAATTGACATTTTATTGGGTTTATCAAGGACAGAGAATTTTGTGAGAGTGCAGTTGCTATCTGGGGTCTGAACCTCCACACTTTGGTTGATTGGTTTAATTATTGTAGAGATGTGTGTTTGTTTGTGATGGAAGAGGAGAAATGAGATGATAGGGTGGGCCAGGGATTGGAAGTTGAGATTGATGAGAGTAAGTTTGGGAAGCGTAGAGTTTCTGCCGAGGAAGGCGAATGGATGGTGTGGGTGTTTGGGGGTATCGAGAAAGAAAGTAACCTGGATGTTTTGGAAGTTGTGGGAGAAGCGTGATGCAGATAATTCTTTTGAGTGTGCTGAGAAAGTGGGTGCGACTGGGAACGATAATTCATTCTGATTGTTGGAAGGCGTATGCTAGGCTGAATGAGATGGGATACGAGCACGTGACAGTGAATCATAGTAAGGAATTGTGAATGCAGAGAATGGTGCGTGCACTAATAAAATTGAGAGTACGTGGAGAGCGGTGAAAGCGTCCCCGCCCAGTTATGAATCCACGAAAGGATTGTATGATAGTTATTTTGTGGGAGCACATTGGGAGGAAGAAATATTTTACGTTGTTCTGATGATCCTTTTCGTTACATTTCTTACTTTTATCCGCCGTGCATTTGACCCCCAAAACCCATCAATATTTTTAAAATAGTTGAAAACTGAAAAATAAAGAAAATGAAAGCGCAGATGATGTATTTAATTCAAGTGCGGATTTGTTCTTGTGAGGTGTAGTCAATTCAATTGAGGCGCAGATTTGTTTTGTAATATAAGGTAAGTGAAGCGTTTCGATATATTTGATATCACGCTGTGCTACATCATGTTAACTTTACCTGTTTTGTTTATTGTATCGATTAGTATCCAAGGGTAATTGAATGGACCAAAACAGCGATGTTGTTATTCGCTGAGCAAACAAAAATGGCGTCAGCGTTAGTGCCTCGCTTCGATGTAAATATGGCTTCTGCGCATGTCTGTAGCTAAACTCTCCGGGACCCGTAAAAGCGCAGCTCTACCCCAAATACATCAAGCATAATGCTTTCAATTTAAATGTATTACCTTCTAAAGCGATACATTTATTCAGTATTCTTACCTGTGAAAATTCGGGTTAGAATTGGTCTTCTGTAACCCATGCTTGTCGTAAGAGTCGACTAATGGGATCGGGTGGTCAGGCTCGCTGACCTGGTTGGTACATGTCATCGTTTCCCATTTGCGTAGATCGATGGTCATGATGTTGATCACTGGATTGTCTGGTCCAGACTTGATTATTTACAGACCGCCGCCATACAGCTGGAATATAGCTGAGAGCGGCGTAAAACAATAAACCAAACTAAAACCAAATCTTTCTTCATCTATATTTACATGTATTTGATGTTTTCTTAGCATAGCGACTCGATTTGCGTTATAAAATATTTTACTATTCATAGGTGATCCGAACTTTAAGAGTTCATGAAAATTACATAATTAGTGAAAAACATCTATTTCTTATATTATGTCACCTTTACGACGAGCATGGGATGCTGAAGACCAATTCTAACCCGGATTTCCACTGACGGGTCTGCAGTAAGGAGTGTGAACAGGATATAAGTACACATAAGAAATGTTTGTAAATAATTTACCCTCAAGATTTAACGTCTAAATCTTCCTGTAGAACAATATTAACATTGCTAAAATGTCCGCAATCTTAATAGACCTTGTCTGTCATACAGAACCTGAAACAATTACATCCAAGAAAGCCCGTGCAAGTCTAGAAAATGTGGCAAGTCTAGATTTCCACAATTTCTGAGAATTAAGAACGCCTCTGGGTTCCTTTTCATTAAATGTTATTATATATTTTTTGGTGAACAGGTTTGTTTTGATTTCCAGACGCATGCCAAACTTGATGCCAACCATGCTGAACAGACTTAGACGGGAGAGGTTACCATGGAGATTGTACGAACGATTCAATGTCTCTCTCCTCGGGCAAGGCCGTTTGGTTTGTTGGTTAGCAATACTCAACATGATTCCAGCGATATGACGGCGGTCTGTAAGTAATCGGATTTGGACCAGATAATCCAGTGATCAACAGCATATTCATCGGTCTACGAATTGGGATACCATGGCATGTGTCAACCAAGCCTAGCTACTCGATCCCGTTAGTCGCCTCGTACTAGCATGGGTTGTTGAAGACCAATTTTAACCCAGATCTTCAAGGGTATTTTCCTCGGGATGATTAACTTAAATTAAAGAAATTAAAATAACAAATTAAAGAAATATGTTTCTTTGCCTGGTCCTCCGTCACTACTGCATGGGAATGTTGGCTTATATGAATGTAGGGTATGTGACATGTACCAACACAATGAGAGGGCGTAATGAGAGCCGAAGTGCGTCTTAGTCAAAGGGAGATAAGTCAAATATGATCAGATTTGTATGTAGCTTAATAACTTTATACAGAGTCCATTTAGGAACTGTTGAGCTGTTTCCGTTGGTATCTGGTATATACGCAAGTGATAAAATATGAATTGATTCGATCAAACCCTTCATTCATTCCTTATGATGTATAGTTACTGAAGGTAAGTATATTTGTTTGTTTGTTCAGCATTATACATTCCCTTCTCATCCTGTTCCATTCCCGCTTGACAACGATACAAGAATCTGTATCGAAACGTCGCACTCACGAATTAAAAAGAAGGTGTTATTCATACAGTTTACATCCTGATACGAATAGCGACTCTTGCACCTCACTGGCTACGTTTGAACCCATTTCGTAATTTGTAAGCGGTACAATATTAGTTTTAATCGTTTCTTCTAATATTTGAGGATGTATATTTCTAACTAGATTTTTCTTATCACATAAATAGTTTAACAATCCAAAATTGCGTTTTCAGTTAAAACAAATCTTTGAGAAATATCATGCATTCATTGCAATGATGATTTTGTTGGGTTGGTTTCTTGAAGTAGCAATTTAACAGATTAAAGAATTGACGGAATGTGTCATTTCGAACATAATGTTCACAAACAGTACACACGTGCGTTCCTTCAACTGTTGTCAATCACGACTTTAAATGACCTGAACTTGATCTCTATGTGTGTACCATCAACATAATTTGATCTTTGTCAGTACCAACAGCATCATTTGACCTTTGTCAATACCATCAACATCATTTGATCTTTGTCAGTACCATCAACATAATTTGATCTTTGTCAGTACCATCAACATAATTTGATCTTTGTCAGTACCATCAACATCATTGGATCTCTGTCAATACCATCAACATCATTTGATCTTTGTCAGTACCATCAACATAATTTGATCTTTGTCAGTACCAACAACATCATTTGATCTTTGTCAATACCATCAACATCATTTGATCTTTGTCAGTACCATCACGTCATTTGATCTTTTTCAATACCATCAACATCATTTGATCTTTGTCAGTAGCATCAACATAATTTGATCTTTGTCAGTACCAACAACATCAGTTGATCTTTGTCAATACCATCAACATCATTTGATCTTTGTCATACCATCAACATCATTTGATCTTTGTCAGTACCATCAACATCATTGGATCTTTGTCAATACCATCAACATCATTTGATCTTTGTCAGTACCAACAACATCATTTGATCTTTGTCAATACCATCTACATCATGTTATCTTTGTCAGTAGCATCAACATCATTTGATCTTTGTCAGTACCAAGATCTTTGTCAGTACCATCAACATAATCTGACCTTTGTCGATACCATCATCACCATTTGATCTTTCTCAGTACCATCAACATCATTTGATCTTTGTCAGTAGCATCAACATCATTTGATCCTTGTCAATACCATCAACATAATTTGATCTTTGTCAGTACCAACAACATCATTTGATCTTTGTCAATACCATCAACATCATGTTATCTTTGTCAGTAGCATCAACATCATTTGATCCTTGTCAATACCATCAACATCATTTGATCTTTGTCAGTACCAACAACATCATTTGATCTTTGTCAATACCATCAACATCATGTTATCTTTGTCAGTAGCATCAACATCATTTGATCTTTGTCAGTACCAATATCATCATTTGATCCTTGTCAGTACCATCAACATCATTTGATCCTTGTCAGTACCATCAACATCATTTGACCTTTGTCAATACCATCAACATAATTTGATCTTTGTCAATACCATCAACATAATTTGATCTTTTGTCAGTACCAACAACATCATTTGATCTTTGTCAGTATTCCATACAGGGTGACAGTTAAGGCAGTACAATCTAACAAACTGATAATTATTAGTTTGATATTATTTATTATAGTTTGGAAAAAAGAATGCTCTGGATGACAATTACTATAACGTATGCATAATGAGTTATATGGAATTGAAGTTACTAACTTGTGCACGAATGTCATAGTATTTTACAGTTTGATGGCGTGTATGAAAAGCCGTACAGTATGAAATATTCAGTATCCCTTTTAGTAATTTAAAACTGTATCATTAAACCATTTCTGTTCGCGTTCAGTGCTTATTTGCGTGGCATGACTTATATTTGATACACCTATGATATGATGGTGGGATACATTGATTATTGAACGATAATACATCGTCTGTATACCTGGAGCTTGAGTTACACTCATAGGCTTAAAGAAACAGATCCTCATTGATGGGAACACAGTTGTTGGCAATAGGGATGTCTACGTCTTGTCTAAATATTTTCTGACTGATTTTGTACGGATCTTTATGGAACTTTGGAATTCAGTACAATAAGAAGAACGGGCATATCTCTGGATTTTAGAGTCAATCCAAAAGTAGATGAATGGTTTTGGCCGATCTCTTCCTATGTGAACATATATATTAAGCTATATATATCAATGTTGGATATGTCACTAATGCCAAGCTATTTGATCTAGCAGTTAATGTATGTTGTGTTAATGCGACCTTAAATATGAATAGACTTAGAAAGAGATTGAATTGCATCGAGATTCTGTAACGTCACAAACTTCCACCAAGGCAATTGTCCATAAATGTACTTAAAAGAATACTTTGATCCTATATGGCGTAGAATATATGGTACATTTAGGCAAGCTATCCCCAGGAGCCGTGCGCTTCAATGCTACAGGCCGAGATGGTCACGTTATTGACTATATAAAACACGTGAGACGAAGATTTGAAAGCGGAACACGAATATGGAAAGCTATATGAAACGACAGTAGCACAAATGAGACATGATAACATTTTAAGATGAAAATCATTTATATCGACAAAATATTTGTTTCCATACTATGATAATGGTGTAATATCAAGTATAAGAAATATATCTAACCAATGGAAGCCAATGTGTAACTACATATACAATAGTCGAACATTTGTCTGTACGTTTTCAGATGTATTCATCGGAAGTCGTGGTAGTGGAGGACATCTACAGTCTAGCTGCACAACAACACCCCGTGGACCTCGGGGATCACGCCTGAAAAAAGAATAAAGAATATCCTTCAGATCGAAATATCATTTGTGTTTTCATCTGATTCTATTCAGGGACTAATTATTTCAGTACCAGTTATAATTACCCTTTTCACTTTTCTAAACGTAAGGCTTACTTCTCACACCGTGTTTCTATCAACCGTCCCCGTGGCATACATACTTGCTGCTTTTCAAGTACAATAATCTTGCAAATTCATTTCACCTCATTTTAAAAATTAGATGTGCCGCGATTTAATTGTTTATGTGTATCGATATATTTTCTGTTAATTACTACGTTGAAAATAAGTATTTGCTTCTATGAGTTAACAGGAATGCACGTGACAAACATACATGATCATACATGTATTTGCTTTACACTTACGCTGTTCCTGGATCGGGTTGGGGACGTTGGGACCATTCCGGTTGAAGGTGGGGACTACAGCGTTCCTTACGCATAGGAGAAAGAACAGCATCCCCAAAAAGATGAATGTCATCAAGCTGGACCAGTACCATGTGTCAATGATGGAGCAGAGGATGCGGGTGTTGCAAACACAGACACAGCTGGGAGTATCCCCTGCAGCTAACGCCCTGATGGCACAACAACACTCACACGAATCTGTAAAATTGATCATGGGTTAATTAGTGTATTTGAGTTTCTGAGGATCGTATGTTAATCTTCAGCTGTAGGGGATCATGAAACATAAATATTAGAACAAAAATATTTGCTGGCTACAAACAGTCTACACAAAAATGTTTGTGCCTGTCCATAAACATATATTTTCTAGTATTACCATACTGTTCTGTTCTGATTTATCTTGATTTCCAAGTTTCACACTCTGTGATCAGCAAACAGTGAAACAGGTACGTACAGGTACAACCCCAAACTGGTGACGATCGAACATGTTCAGGGTATCGATTGATCCAAAACCAGGCTGTACGAAATCGACCTCAAACGGCGAGCATATTGCTATCAACGTTCACCAGACTTGTTGGAGTACGCATTACAAGTTCGGCGATTAGAAGTCGTCTACACAGCTCATCACCATGCCACGTTGTGCCGCCATTACAAATATATTACCAACAAGCATCATCGAAGTATGCCATCAGGTCACTGTCGCTGGTTGTCTCGTATTCATAAAATACCATGGCCAAAAACTTTTCCATTTGCCTTTCAACACACCTGTGACATAATGGGAGGACGTCTTTCGTCATCGGCATAGCCCACCGACCACGTTGCCTGAACCTAACCGGGCGCTGCAAGAAACTGTAACTGACTCCTTCAAGCCTCAGTGGGAGACGCAGCATCTATCGTCGAGTGAATCGGTGTTTGAAAAATCGTGGCGAGAATATTTTTAATCGCTACTAATCCAATAAGGTCAGCTTTCCAATCATACAATTATACGGAAGTCGACAAAATATTTTTCTCAGAGAAACTGGGCAGCAGTATGTCTTTACACTCTGATGAGCCCTTTCTATACATGTTATATCAGGTGTACTGTCATGTCTATACAGAGCATTAATGTTTCAGGACGATATCATTGTAGATACAATGTTTAACTTCTCACAGCTGGACATTGAATGGGTCACGTGCACAGAATATATTACTCATTGTGGTTTACGTCGGATCGGATCCCGGAAAGCCGGATGTATGCGGATCAGTAAAGGAACACACAGGGACAAAGGTGGTTTGCAGGCAGGACCAGAAACTGGTGTGGAAGACGCCTGTGTGGTCTTGAATATTCAATATTTATATTTGAATCATTCGGATTCCGGGATAAATATTGATTACATCCTAAACTAATTACACATACTATTTGAGATTGGGTTAAGCGAAAACAGCACGTCGAAACTTATGTTAATTGCAACTTGTGTGTGTATGTGTGCGGTTTTTTGTATGTTTGTGTGTGTTTTGTGTGTGTGTGTGTCTGTAAATGTGTGTATTCTGTGTTTGTGTGAGTGTGTGTATCTGCATGTGTGTGTGTGTGTGTGTGTGTGTTTCTATGTGTCGGTATAACTGTGTGTTTATATATCTGTATAAATGTGTCTGTGTGTATGTATCTATATGTGAGTGTCTATGTGTACGTGTGTGTAGATGTGTGTTTGTGTGAGTGTGTGTTTGTTTGCTCTGTGTATTGGGACTGGGTAATGTTTGGCGATTTCCTTACCATGAATTTCGTTAGTATATAGTGCAGACAGTACTAGAATCTGTATTTTAGTGCATAGTGTAATCCAATATATAACAAAAGCTGCATTTGACCAATTTGTAAATGGCACTGTGCAGTGTGCATTCATACATAAAGTACGCGATCTACACTACCAGATGTCCGACTGCCATTTTTTGTGGAAGCCACGGCGGCTGAGTGGGTTAGGTATGATGTTAGGTGCTGGCAATGATGTGTCTGACTCTGATAGTACCCGTGAAGGTCCTGGTTAGAATATTGATCTTCTGTAACCCATGCTTGTCGTAAGAGGCGACTAACGGGATCGGGTTTTTCAGGCTCGGTGACTTGGTTGACACATGTCATCGGTTCCCAATTGCGCAGATCGATGTTCATGTTGTTGATCACTGGATTGTCTGGTCAAGACTCGATTATTTACAGACCGCCGCCATATAGCTGGAATATTGCTGTGTGCAGCAGTAAAACTAAACTCACTCACTCACTGATAGTGTGGGTCCGAATCCCGGAATCCCGGGTGGAACTCAACCTTAAAGTACTAAATTTCTACTTTACGTAGATATAAACATATATGTTGAATACTACAATGGCCACAGCCGGCAGTGGCACACGTTCCTGTTACCAGACTATACAACTTACATTTCGCCAGTATTCAAAAGAATTGATGAACGCTTTTTGACGTTTTATTTTAAGATTCCTTCGGCCATTCAGTACTGAACCTGAATATACTAGATGCATTCAGATCATGATACATTAACCTATGATCACAAACAATTTTTAATGAACCGGTCAACTAAAACGAAAAGTACCTTACCCCAGGTGGAAATCATCCTGACCTCATCAGTGGCTGTCTTTACTCAAATGGATATCTCTACTACACGTTGGACGTCACTGTCGTCTCTACGTGTTGCTCTTCGTTGCTGATCGGAAAACCCCTGCCGTCTCTTGTCATGTCGGATCGGATCGGATTGTGTTACACTTGTGTCGCCGTTTTGTCATGTATATGCCTACGTACGGTATTAGGGGCAGTGGGGAT